CATTATTGTACATGGTTTACTGAATAAAGAGCATGGCACCTCAATGAATAAACACAGAGACTACAAGAAAGTGTGACAAACCACATACTTTAAACTGGAATCTAGGCCCTGCTTGTCATAAAACGTCTCTGTCTTTTTGTACTACTGAAGAGGACATTATCCTCCATTGTTATAGTCCACATCCTGTCTTAATTGAAAATAACAGAATTTAAACATGTGGTTGATGAAGAGCAGAAGTTCCCACACAGGCAATTACATCCATGTGATCTGGAAAAAAAAGTCATTTCTAGAAAGATGACATTAACTTCTAACATACCCAGTCTTTTTAGTAACTGTTTTACTTAACTAAAGTCTGTTAGTAATTTAAACAGGCTAGTAAGCTTACAGGGAAGATCATAAAGCACAGGAAAACACTGTTGTAATTACATTAGTGATGTTCTACACAAAATCAGATTAAGTAATAAATCTACTTGAAGTATGGAAATCTTACCTGTATGCCTGTCATCGACTTCTGTGACCTACAGTTATGTGAGTAAACATTTCTGCAAAGACAGCTCTGACTTATTAATATGTCTCCTCCCATTCCTAACTCCACTGCACAAGGCAGCAATAGGATACTAGACACACAAATAGCAAAAAAATTTGTCATCTTTCCATACCTACAGGGTACTCTTATTTTGGATAAAATGCCCCTCTTTGAACAGCCAAAAGTGGATATTATCTATCTTGTATTAAAAAGCTCTCCTAAAATGTATGCTGAGTTTTTACATGTAGCTATACTCAAAAACACCAGATGAAGGAATAAACAAGAGAGAAGCGTGAATGAGGGGTAACTACAGTGAAATGTGTTCAAACAAAAATGCTCTGTGCAACAGATGAAGGATAATGCAGTTCAATAAACATCCTAGGAGAATGCACTGGTAAACACACTTGTAATATTCTGTGTTGCATATTTAATATTTACAAATATTCTCTGCACCTTTTCTTAGAAAGAATCCTCCTACTCATTCATTTAAGGTAATGAACATATGATCTATTGAACACTAGAACTAAATATAACAGGTGAGCTAAATCTGATCAAAATAAATTCATATATATTTTTGGAACATAGCTGAGTACTTTACTACTTACTAAGCTTCAGAACTTCCTTTGAAAGTACTACTCTCAGGAGGCTCTCTAAGTAACCAAAATCCAAACCAATTCTACAGCACAGACTGGTGTGTAATGTCCCCTCTTCTACATTCTCCCTATGCCAAAGAGGAGATATTAAATTATAAGTGGCTTACCTAAGGTCACTGGGAGGGACAGATGTTCCAGTCACTGTCTTTATCCGTGATCATCAGCCTAGCTTTTAACTACTTTCTTACTGGTCTGCTTTTATTTATGCAACTGTTTAGCTTAAACACACACATTTTTCTTCACTGAACTATTTCAGCTGTGTCCCACAAACCCCTAGAGCCCCAATGACAATGTCTAGGAGGCTACTCCAAACTACACTCAGAAAAACAAGCTCAGCAGCAGCAGGCTTGATTTCACTGCATTGGTTCTGCAGCAGCATTGAGGAAGCATTAAAATGCCTGCATAGCAAAAAAAAAAAAAAAAATTTAAAAAAATTCAAATTAAGGATTGCCAGAAAGTATACAACAATTAGATAAAAGTTATTTTTTTACCTTTTAATAGGTCACGGAAAACAATTATATAGAAGTCTCAAAACACTTTCGAAAGACTGTTAAAGGCCCAGAAGCAAAGCAAATGTGTTATAATTCTTACGCTTTTGCCTACTCATCCAGCGTACGTTATTTGCTCCTTGGGAATATACCATCCCATTTTCATTGCTAAATAACCCCCAGGTATCATGATCAGTTTAAGATCATCTAACCACAGTCTGCTGCTGAAAAGCATCGTCCCACTCTTCCCCTAAACACTGTGTCAGCTCTTTTGCTCATACAGCTGTGGCTGGGGTACATAGGATTGACCGAAAACTCTTGCAGTTAGTCTCCAGTTGAATCAGTGAGCTTAAACTGTGAAGAAGCAGCACCCCAAACTCCTTTACAACTTTGTTCTTCCTGTGGTTTGTACGTACCTTTAATTGCGTTAACTACTTTTGCGTATGCCATTCCAAAACAATCAGTTAAAAGTAAGAAGAAAATCCTACGGAACAAGAAGTAGCTGTATGTTTTGTTTACAGCAGACTGAAAAAAACTGTTTAGCTGGTATGACTTATTAAGAAAAGTTAGATAGAGATAGTTACTACAGCTGATCAGTATCCTGTTCTTCAGAAAGTTGTTTTGTAATTACAAGATATTGGAGAAGAGTAACCACTGCTACTTCCCTATTCTTCACATTTGATCTATTGTTGTCTCAAAGTCATAACTAAACTAAATTCATCTTAAACACCAGGAGACTTCCTAATATTTTATTAAAACACAATTTTAAGGCAAAAGTAAAGATGTTACAAATACATGTAATTTCGATACTTCTAATCACAGAACAACTTAGCATAGTCACTACTGAAGCATAAACAATCCTATTTTCATAGGACACACTTTGCAGATGCAGTTGGGACAGTAAGTTTTGATACACTGCATCAGCTTTAAAACTGTATTTAATCTAGTTATGAGACTACTAAGAAGTGAAAAATTACCACAGGAAGTAAATTCAGTCTTGTTAATTGTACATAAGTAAACTGGATGAGGAAGAACTCTTTGGCAGGCTCAGTGACTTTTTTTTTTTTTGCGAGGGAAGAACAACTTCAGAAAGGTTATTAAGACAGGGCCTGCAAGTCTTCCAAACAAACCGGTTGAATCTCCTAACTAACCTTGAACATCTTTATCTTGATAACGCAGAAAAAAAAAAAATCTACAGAACACACGATGTATCACTGTATCAGAACTGGTATTCTAGATTTTGAAATTAATTTACATTTTATAAGCGAATACATCTATTAGATTCAAAAGTACAGTAGCAAGACAAAAAGATTCATTTCATCAGCTGAAAGTCATTCTCAGCTGATGAACTAGTCTGCTGTTTCCCAGGTAATTTCTCTGTTTCAGGCCAGCACTATAAAATACCACTTATTTCCATTGCAAATACTGTTTCACTTGTTGAAACTTCTCCATTCAAAAGAAACTGACAAAAGGATGTTGAGGTCAGTAGAAGACATCTCCTAAAATATAGTTAACAAAGAAACCTCTATCTCATCTTTTTTATTCTAAAAGGAAAATTGCATTGTTCCCATCTTGGATTTTAACATCCCAGTGCAGCTCAGGATAAAATGCATCTGCTAGACATTTATTAGTGTTCAAAAAAGGTGTGAGTCTACAATGCAGATAAGTTTTTTATCCCCACAAGTAGTCATAACCAAAGCAGCAACACTTAATACGCTTAACAGCATGCTTCACTTATGATCATGCTTCAGAACATGCAAAATAAAGGATAATTTTGCACAGTATATATTTATAACTACATATGTACTCACAAAAGATCTTACATACAAAATGCATTAAGAAAAAAAAAATATTCGATTATATTCCAACTCCTTTGACACATAGCACGTCACAGACACCCATTAAGGGTTTGCCAGCAAAGTCAACAGGGAAGCCTGAAAATAAGTGCTGTAAGACTTTCACAGCAAATCACCTGAAATATCACTCTTGGAGATTTTAATGAATCAAACTTAAAACCACTATATTCAGAGTGTGTTTGTAAATAACTTCTTTTTTTTAAAAAAAAAAAGCACTGGCGGCTCAGTTTGCCTCTAATCTGCTAACCAAGCCAGTACAAATGCACTCCAGCAACCTGCTTCTACAGAACAGGAAAACGAACTTACTCACTTGTTCCTACAAAACCAGCTCGACGCTCGGCCGGACCAACCACCGCCAGCACCACCGAAATCGGCGATTAGTCAGGAAACCAAGCGAGCCGGCGGCAACGCTTCTTCAGAAGGAGCGGGCAGTCGGAGCTCTCACGGCGACAGCTTTTGCCACCCAGCAGCTTCCCTCCGCTACGAGAAAGCGAGGGGCCCTCCCCCCGCCAGCCGCGGGTCGCGTCGCGTCCCCTCGCTCCGCGCTGCC